AACCTCCACCTCTCCCTCCTCCTCCGCCTCTTCCACCTCCACCTCCACCTCCACCTCCACCTCCGGCTCCGGCTCCTGAACAGCCTCCTCCACCTCCTCCACCACCACCTTCGGTTTCGCCTTCCTAAAGCTCAATCCCTTAAGGCCCCTCTTCTCCGGGACCACACTCCCGCCCCCACCCCCGGCCTTCAGCCTCTCCCGCCCAATAGCAGCCCTCATCTCCTCCGCCATCAGTTTGCTCTTCACGTCCTCCCTTAGCGCGGCCCTGAGCTCCTTGAGGACCAGCGCCTGCGCCGCAGCGACGAGCGCGTCCGCGCCCCACGCGCCGTCCTGGGGCACCGCGGCGGGGAGCGCGGGCGCCGGGGCGGTGGTGAGCACTACGGTCTGGTACGCGAGCTTGTGGGTACCGGAGTTGGAGAGCACGCGCGCGGCGCGGAAGGCGCTGTCTGCGGTGAGGAAGGTCACGTACCACCCTTCGTGGTCGCGGAGCACCTGTGTGCGGCGCCCATCAGTATCTTGCTCCTCCCACAGAAATCAAAAGAAAAAGGAAAAAGAAAAGAAAAGAAAAGAAAGGGAGAAGAGGGAGGGACTCACGAGATCGACCTTGAACCCCTCAAAGAACCCCCGCACATCCTCCTCCCTCGCACTCCCCACAAGCGGCAGCCTCACATGCTCCATCCCATTCTTCGCAAGCGCCTCCAGCACAAGCGCATGCTGCCTCTCCCTCTTCTCCCTCTCCTCCCCCTTATCCCGCTCCCTCTCCCTGCTCCTACTCCTTGACCTACTCCTACTCCTGCTCCTTGACCTGGACCTGGACCTGGACCTCGAGCGTGAATACTCCGCCCTCCCCCTGAAATACTGCCGCGCGCGGTCCCACGAGCGCGGGCGCGGATGCGATCTGGATCTGGACCTGGAGCGGGGGGACCTGGAGCGGGACCGGCGAAACACAGGCGAGGGGACGTAGCTGTCCCCCCTATCCCTATCCCGCTCCCTCTCCCAGGCGGGACCGTTCCGGGGCGGGGGGACATAACTATCGCCCCTGCCATCCCAATTCCTGTCGCGCCCTCCTCCCATTCCGCCTCGGTCGCGGTACCCCCGCCCGCGCATGGGCTGGGCCATCCCGCGGCCCCGGTCCCTGTCCCTGTCCCTGTCTCTGTCTCTGTCTCTGTCCCTGTCTCGTTCTCGTTCCCTCTCCCTTTCGCGCTCCCACTCCCGCTCGCGCTCCTCCCTATCAGCCTCCCGCTCCCTCTCGCGCTCCCTCTCGCGCTTCGGGTCGCCCCCCCTCCCGAGATACCCATTCGGGTTCGGGGGGAGCGCGGCGAGGGCCTGTGCGATGTTCGGGTGCTTCGCGAGGGGCGTGTGGGGGGCGCCGTTCGTGAGGGGCTTCGGGGGGAGGTTCGGTTTGGGCGGGAGGGCGTGGTGGAGGTGTGTCGTTGTCGTTGTTGGCGTGTGTGCGTGGGTAGGGGGGTGCGTGAGGTTCGGGGCGAGGACGTTGTTCGGTCTCTTCGGGTTCTGGGGCGGTGGCGGTAACTGGGCCGGGGCCGGTGCGGATGTAGACGCGGGGGTGCTCTCCCCCTTCGGCGTCGGCTGCGCCTGCTGTGATTTCCCCCCACTGCCACTCCCACTGGAAGCCGAAGCCCCATTAACACCCCCAACCGCAAGCGGGGGCAGCCCCCTCTCCCTCCTCCTCCTCTCCTCCAGCCGCCCCTCCAGCGCCTTAACAACAGCCCTACACACCCTGCCCCCCTCATCCATCACCGCCCGCACCCTCTCCTCCCCCTCCTTCGCCTTCCCCGTCCCCGTCCCCGCCCCTGCCCCTACCCCTCCTACCCCTATCCCTATGCCCCCCGCACGCCGCCCGTCCTCGACCTTCACACAGCGCGCGGCCTCCTCGGGCGTGGAGTACTTGAGGTGCAGCACGCCGAGCGCGGCGCCGTTGGCGCGGGAGGTGTGCCATTCGAAGGAGAGGAGGGGCCCGTAGGTGCGGTAGTGCGTGCGGAGGGCGGCGGTGGGCGTTAGGGGCGGGAGGGAGGTGAGGGTCACGCTTGTGGGGGGTGGCGTGGGGGTGTGGGTGTCGTGCTGTTGGGGGGGTTAGTTTAGTATTGTATTGTTGGTGGTGGTGTGATATGGAGGGGGGTAATGAATGTGATTTTAGGTTTTGCGGTTATGGTTTGGGGCGATAAGGTGGGGGTAGAGCGGTGATGTGAGAGTTGGTTAGATATAAAAGACGCGTCGAGGCGCGGGTGGTTGTTTGAATGGAGTGGGGGTTGGATATGAGGATAAGGAGTGATGAGGGATTGCCGACGGGGGGGAGGGCGAGATATGAGAATGTGAGAGAATAGGAGCGAAGAGAGTAGAGAGTGGGCGTGGAGAGGAGATGTGTATGTGCGTGTGCGTGTGCGTGTGCGGAACGGGATGCGGGAGGTGGTCCACGATCGCAAGTACGCGGAGGGCGCCAGCGCGGGTGAGCATCGAGGAAGCGCGGTGGGAGGGGCCAGATAAATACGGTGGATACGTAGTGGGGGATGGGGTAGTCGAGGAGGGGGAGATGCGGGGGCAGATATCGAGCAGGGCGCGATAAAATGTGAACGCGGGGCGCGTCAAATGTAAAATTGGATCGCGAGTGCCGCCGGGATGGAGAGGATGCCGGTCGATTCGTGTCGAGTCGCGGTGAACGAACGGATGGATGGGGAGAAGCAGAAGCGGGGGTAAAGTCAGCAACACGTTTACGAAATACGAAAACACGAAAACATAGAAAGCAAGCAGCAAGCCCAGCCCAGCCCAGCCAAAATCCACCAGAATCGAAACCGAAGAAATAGAGAAGAAACACAAAACGCACCTCCCACACAACCTCCACAAACACCTCCCTCCCGGGCCTCGCAGGCGCCGGGAACCGAGGGAGCCCCACGCGTCTTGGGTCGAACGGGACCGGTTCCGGCTCTTGCTCTTGCTCTTGCTCTTTCTCTTCCTTACTCTCCTCTTCTTTGGTTCCCCCATCCGCATCCACGTCCATGCCATTTGGCAAATCCGACGCAAGGGACGGGGCACAGTCTGAAGGGGCCAGGGGCAGCACGACGCCCTCGTACCTGCGCAGCTGCTCCTTCCCGTCGCGCCCGCGGACGCGGTCGGGCTGGAGGGCCTTTGCGCGCTCGAGGCGGGCGCGGAGGGCGCGGGGGTTTGGTTTGGTCTGGACCAGGGATCCTCCCTTGGCCGTCGTTGGCTCCTTCCCCTCTTCCTTCTCCTCCTTCACGTCGTCTCCCTCCTCCTCCCCGGTGAATTGTTGCGGCACCCACCGCGCCCCGCCCCACGCGCCCACGACCGCCCAATTCGCGATGGCACACGCGCTGGGGCCCGCCTCTTTTTCGCGCGAGGACGGGGGCGGGCCGAAGTCGAGGAGGGCGGGGTCGTAGAGGATTTTGTAGGAGCGCTCGTTGGGGGGGTAGGGCGGGGCGTCGCGGGGCGGGGGCCACGCGGGGAGTGGTGGGTGTTCCCGTATTTGCGGTGGTGGTGGGGGCGTGGGTTCTCGTGGGGGCGGTGGGGGCGGTGGGGGAATTGGATTTTGTTGCGGCGGGGGCCGGGGATCTTGTGGTAATGATGGGGGTGGAGGCGGCGGCGGTGGTGGTATATGTATCGCGGGCGCCGGGGCTAGCGGCGGCTGCATGAAGACGGGGGATATTTCGGGACACGGTGGAGGCGGTGAGGGGCTCCTAGACGGGGGCGGGGGCATCGCGATCGCGACTCCGATTGGGGGCGGTGGCGGCGGTTGTGGTGCTTCTTCGTGTGCTGGTTCTGGGGGCGGAGGCGGGGGAGGCGGCGGTGGGGGCATTTCGTCTTCTGGTGGTGGAGGCGGTGGTGGTGGTGGTGATTCTTGGTGTGGAGGCGGGGGCGGGGGAGGGGGCGCTTCAGTTGGGGGAGGCGGGGGAGGAGGGTCGTAGGTTGGTTGGGGCGGGGGAAGGGCGATGGATATTGCGGCGCGGACGGGGATGAGTTTTGGGGTTGCGTCGTGCGGCGCCTGTTGGTTGGTTTTTTATTAATATGATACATCACGAAGAAGGAGGGCAAAGACATGGAAATGGAAATAGAAATGAAAATAGAAGTAGAATTGGGGGACGGTGAACTCGCAGAAAAGAATAGAAGAAAGAAGAAACTCACCCTCGCATCCTGGAGCTTGTTTTTGATCGAGATGGGCTGCCGGTTCGTCTGCAGCCCTCCTTCCCTCTCTCTCTCCTTTTCTCTTTCTCTTTCTCTCTCTCTATCCCTCTCCCCCTCCCTCTCCCTCTCCCGTTCCCTATCTCGCTCCCTCTCAGCATCCCACCTATCCCTCTCCCCACCCCTCACAAACTGCTTCCCCCTCCCCGCACCATTCACCGCCCCCAACGACCGCGGCCCCGTCGGTATGGGCTTGCTCGTGCGCGGGCCCGTGGGCGGTGCGTGCATATGCGTATTCGCATGTGAGTTGGGTAAATGCGGCGGCGGGAGGTGTGAGTGCGAGCTGGGTACCGACGAGGGCGACGAAGAGCTGGACGAGCTGGCGTGTGCATTTGCATTCGCATTCGCATTTGGGCCAGAGCCGTAGAGGGCACGCGGGCCCTTGGGCGGCGCCTTGCCCGACATTCAGATGCCTCGTCTCGGGCAGCGTGCGGTGCTGTGCGGTGTGAATAGAATAGAATAGATGGGCAGATGGTGAATGCACGGGGCCCGTGACTGGACAAAAGACAAAGTGAAAGTGACGCCGTGCACAGCGAGCCAGCGGCGATCACCACAAAAGCGAGAGCGAGGCTCGTGGGCTTGTTTGGCACCGCTGGCATCGACCAAAGCCCCCCCGCCTCCGACTCAGCTCGGCTCGCTTCTGACTACCATTTTGGGTCTTCCCACCCTCCCTCTCGAATACACCTTTCTTGCGTTCACTCGATGTATTTTAACCATGACTGAGAATTCGCATTTTCGTTTCTCGAGACGTTCGTGTGCAAGTCTTTTACTAGGTGTCATAGTGGAAGAACAGCAGCATGGCGCAGTTGGAAGCGCGCGGGGCCCATATCATTTGTGTAGGGGTGCTTTATATGCAACCCCGAGGTCACTCGATCGAAACGAGTTGCTGCTATAAGTCTCTCTGTCATAATTTTTTCTTTCTTCCACCACCACCAAACACACACCACCCCGCCACCCCCCTCTACCCAACCCTCACAAAGCAGCATGGCGCAGTTGGAAGCGTGCGGGGCCCATATCATTTGCGTAAGGGTGCTTTATATGCAACCCCGAGGTCACTCGATCGAAACGAGTTGCTGCTATGAGATTCTTCGTAGTTTTTCTTCCACCACCAAACACACACCACCCCACACCACACCCTCTACCTGAACCCCTCACAAAGCAGCATGGCGCAGTTGGAAGCGCGCGGGGCCCATATACACTGGGATCTGGATGTATGTGCCACCCCGAGGTCACTCGATCGAAACGAGTTGCTGCTATGACCACTAGCGTCAGACATGGTATTTTTTCTTCCACCACGAAACTCACACCACCCCACCACCCCCCTCTGCTTGAGCCACGCAAAGCAGCATGGCGCAGTTGGAAGCGCGCGGGGCCCATATCCGCCACGCTTCGAAGATATGCAACCCCGAGGTCACTCGATCGAAACGAGTTGCTGCTATGCAGGCTCTGAGGTAGAACATTTTCTTCTTCTCCTCTCTCCTCTCCTCTGGATCTTTCCACAACACTTTCTCCACTTAGCTGAATAATCTCTGTGCACGTGGTGGTCTTGAACAAATCGGAATACCCGGGAGAATAGTATACAGCAACACAACAGAGCTTGAGCAGTATGACGCAAGGGGGCCGTACATACTACAATTGCTCGACACGACCACGAGTTCCTGCTCCATACTACCTCCAACGAAATTCCCGGCCCCGTCCCTCTTTCCCCTCCCCAGTACTCAGTCGCAACCCCCCCACCCCGTCCCCGCAACTCGGGGCCGGAAAGGAAAAGAGCAACAGCAGTATGGCGCAGACGGCAGCGCGCGGGGCCCATATCTTGATCCATGATTCGCCGCCCCGAGGCCACTCGATCGACACGAGCTGCTGCTATGTAGTATTTGCCATGGTGATTTTTTGCTTCCAACACCAAATTCACACCACCACCACACCACCACCCCCTACCCAACCCCTCACACAGCAGCATGGCGCAGTTGGAAGCGCGCGGGGCCCATATCCGCCATGCTTCGAAGATATGCAACCCCGAGGTCACTCGATCGAAACGAGTTGCTGCTATAACCTGCTCCAAACTTTTCGTCTCCTCCACTCTCCTCTCCTCTGGATCTTTCCACAGCACTTTCGTTACTTAACAAGCTCTGCGCATGTGGTGGTCCTGAACGAATCGGAATTCCCGGGAGATTAAATTTACAGCAACACATCGGAGCTCGAGCAGTATGGCGCAGGGGGCCCGTATGTACTAGATTCGTCACTCCCCGACACTCGCTCGATACGGCCACGAGTTACTGCCCTGTATTGTGCCAAACGAAAATTTCGGCCCTGCCGCCTCTTCGTCCTCTCCACGGTCCCTCCGCTCCCCGCAACTCCCACCCCCATCCCCACAACTTGGGACCGGAAAGGAGGAGAGCAACAGCAGTATGGCGCAGACGGCAGCGCGCGGGGCCCGTATCGTCAATTGATTGGGCATCTACAACCCCGGGGTCACTCGATCAAAACGAGTTGCTGCTATGTGGTGTGCCCATAATTTTTCTTCTTCTTACACCACCACCAAGCACACCACCCCCCTTTGTCTGCACCCACACAAAGCAGCATGGGCGCAGCTGGAAGCGCGCGGGGCCCATATACAGAAAAATATGTGTAGTGTGTAGTATACACCCCGAGGCCACTCGGTCGAAACGAGTTGCTGCTATAATTATCTTTCCGAATGGTTTTTTCTTCTCCCCCCTCCTCTCCCCTCTCTTCTCCATCTTCCACACCACTTTCTTTACTTGACAACCTCCGTGCACGTGGCGGTCTTGAACGAATCGGGCTACTTGGGAGTGGGAGACGGGAGACGGGAGTCGACAATACAGCAACACGTTACACAACGGAGCTCGGAGCTCGAGAAGTATGGTGCAGACGGCTCGTATGCATTAGATCCATCGCCCCTCGACACTCGCTCGATACGACCACGAGTCGCTCCTCTGTATTGTCTCGAACAAAAATTTTGACCCTGTCCCTCTCCCTTCCTCCCACCATCCCCCCGCTCCTTAGTACTCAGTGCTCAATCACAACTCCCACCCCCGTCCCCGTACGCACAGCTCAACTCAGGACTAAAAAAGAGAAGAGGAACAGCAGTATGGCATAGACGGCAGCGCGTGGGGCCTGTATGCATAGTATTTCGAAGAGCCCCGAGGACACTCGATCGACACGAGTTGCTGCTATACAGCCTACAAGACTCTAGTCTGTCTTTTTGTTGTTATACTCCCAGTGCGTATATATATATTTATACCCCCATACCATATACGGCTATAATGCACCACCCACAGAAGAGGAGGACATTGAGGGTCACTCTTGCAATGCATCGACATTTTATGCACTCGGCGCTTCTATTATGTTTTCTTTTGGCACGGATTCCTGGACCGCGTCCTTGGCCTCTCGGAAGAGGATAGTACTAGTGGGGGGGGGAGGGGAGACAGCAGCCAGTGCATGGGGCCCATATGCTTGAGCCTTGATCGTCGCCGCCCCGAGAACACTCGATCATTTTCCAAGGACTCTTGGGCCCGCGACAGACCGTATTGCCGGGGTAAGTGCGAACAGTGCTGGCTTCTCTAGTGCCTGTAAACTGGGATCACTTACGGACTGCCCTCCAGGACGCGAGTGCCCCCCGCATCTGGCCCAATTCTGGTGTTGAATAGTAGCTCCGGACTCATACACAATGATTTATACCCCCGTAGAGGCTTGCCGGTTCTCGAACGCCGTCCACAAGGGCGTGTGCACCCCACGTAACAGGATCCACCGTCCTACCTTCGATCCCCGTGGCGTTGGCGTCGGCAATATTGCTTTACGGTCGGCCGTAGAACACAACGAGGCCCTGGATATGGCGGCTCGCGATGTTGTAGAGGCAGCAGAGGCGTTGGTTGCTCGTTCGCTCGAGGAGTTTGAGGGTCTTGATTAGCTATAGGTGAGCTTTTAGCACCCGGCGCAAGTAATTGAAATCACGCCGAACAGGAACGCTCAAGACAGTGACTTGGGTGTATTGTATTCCCAGACAGCGACTTCATACAATGAATGAAATATACATATGGTGTCCGGCTGCGAGAAGCCAAGTTGAGAGCAGATTCTGTAATTCAATTGCACTGGAGTCCTTACGAACTAACTATGCATGAACATCCTCGCTCGGATTGATTTGCAATAATCATGCAGCTTTGAAGGGTACATTGGCGAAGTAACGTGGCCACCGACCAGATTCACAAACGACCCTACTTATAATCATCACCGTCCTGCCTCGCCCTGCACTCACGGGACCTGCACCTCAACGCGCCCCGCGAAAAGAGGAAAATCCTTCGCCAATGATAGGATAACTACAAGGGATTTAGTTAGTAATGAAGGAGGGCATGAGGACACAGTAAACGCACCTGGTGTCGTTGCGTCCCCTTTTCGATCAGGCCACGTTTGTTCCTGACAATTTGGAGGGAGGGCCGGAGACATCCATTTCGTGGACATTAGCTTATAGCCCCAGCGCCTAGGAACACGGGCGATGTTTACTAGGTGACGACCTGCGGCTACATAACTTGCCAGACTGTCCCTTCGCTGGGCTACAACATGCGGGACACAAAGGTATCTCTCAATGAGTCGGCGTGGGTGCTAGAGAGTGCAACGAGAGAGGCGAAAGCCACGAGAGACCATTGAGAAGAGACCATCGAGAGTGCGACGGAGGCTGAAACAACCCGGGTAAATGCTAAATAGAGTTTTATAAACGTAAAAGGACCCTGTGAGCTGTCTGTTGTGGTGTGAGCGTTCTGTCAAGAACTAATTTAAGCGTGGCGGGTGGCCGCCACAATATCAATATTGCTTTGATATTGATCAAGATTCCAGTGCGGAGGTGATGCTGGTGAGGTCTGGAGTGTGCATGAGGCTAATAGGGTGCCTTGAGCGGTACAATCAATCTGACTGTAGAGGAGGGAAGGGCATGAGGAGCGGATATGGTATGAGTATAGGAAAGAGTCAACGTCGAGTCGACGGGCTCTCCAATTTAGTGGTATGTATGCCGCACGACATTTGATGCGAAGCGGTACTTGAGTTTGTCGCGCATGTGTATGTAGAATTTGTGCTACAGCAAGCACGCCTGGATCTAGAGAGGCGTCCTGTACCGTTTGATCTGGAACTCAAAAAGACGAGGTGAGGTTGGTAATTACGATGCCAGTGGCCGATGCGAGTTGACCACGTCGTCCCATCGATAAATGGCAAGTGCCATCCAATCCACACAACCCATGAGGTCCGCATAAATTAGCTGATATATATGAGGCAGTGAATAAATTAACTCTGCTGCATCATAGGCGACAGGAGATCCTGCACATAATCCCACATAGTCAAGTGGTTATTATCTCCCTGATTCATCGTAAAGGTGTACACCTCGCCTGTCGGGAGCGCATAACGCCAAGTATTCGACAAATGTATCAACTTCGGGCACAGTGAAGCAAGGAACAGCGCGATATTCTGGGGCGAGCTGATGGGGGACCTGCACACATCCAAAAGGCGGAGGTTAAGGTGCGGGGCAAGGGTGCCGGAAAGGGCGAGGGCCGCCACGTCCCTCGTCGCGTCCACGCGGATGGCGAGGTTGCTTAATCGAGGGCAGGAGTTGAGGAGAGGGATGAGGCCAGTGATGGTGAGCGTCGGGATGGTGTCGATGGCTGGGTCGGCGAGATGAAGCACTTCGAGGCCGGGCAAGGCTGCGCCGATCACCGCGAGCGCGTCGTTGTCCAATATGGCATTTATACCTAGGTCCAGCCGCAAAATACGCAGCTGGGCCAGGGAAAATAAGGGGGAGATGGAGGGGAGGTCGATACAAGTCGGGGTCGTTTGAGAAAAGGGTTCCCAAGGTATGAACTCTATCTTGAGGTCAATGGAGGTCACATTTCGTGAAAGATTCTCGGTTTGCGATACTGCCAGAACGAATGGATCTAATACCCATAACATGTCTTTTTCACCAGTTACTTTGATCTCCTCAAGGCAGGGGAAAGCGCGAGTTAATTGAAGGATGCTCGCACATACCGTGAGATCAACGCCATGAAAGTGAAGCTTCCGCAGGGTACGGAAGACACCAGTTGCCGGCTGCCACTGTCTCGCGAACTGTGCCAGGTCGGCATCGATCAAAGAAACGGTCAACTGTTCCAAACACGGGAGCGTAGCAAGGGTCCATAGGGTTTCATTGTCGACCGTGTGGGACATAGCTTCTACGACCCTCAGGGCATCAAGGTTTCTGATAACTTCATTCAATGCCGCTGATTGTAGAGGGCAAACGACGAAATCGCAGTTCAAATATAATGGGTCAATCTTTAGCACTTGAAGCTTGGGGGCGTACGACCTCAGAAGTGCCCCAATGTTGGACCAAGAGATCACTCCAACGTGTTCTTCAGTGAAAGACGAGACACGAAATGCGTTGATGGTGATGGATTGAAGCGA